GAAGTTTTCATGCGACAGCCACCTGGGTTCATCTCTGAACAACTTCCAAACCACGTATGCCGATTGAAGAAAGCATTGTACGGTTTAAAACAAGCTCCACGAGCTTGGTACGGTAAGGTTGCTCAATATCTCAACTTTTGTGGCTTCAAAGTATCTCATGCAAACTCGAGCCTGTTTGTTAAATCAGATTCAAATGTGCAACTATTGGTGCTATTGTGTGTAGACGACATGATAATTACCGGAAGTGATGAAACCGAGATCTCTGTCTTGAGAAATAACCTGTCTCTTCGGTTTGATATGAAGAATCTGGGAGAAGTAAACTGCTTCCTTGGCTTGGAGGTTGAGAAAACAAGTCAAGGGTACTTTGTGTCTCAAAGAGCTTATGCAGGGAACTTGCTAGAACGTTTTGGTATGGGGGGTGGCAAAGGAAAAAGCTACTCCGATGGAACCAAACTTGAAGTTGAAGAAAGATGAAGGAAAACTGTTGAAAAATCCAATAAGTTTCGACAACTAGTTGGCAGCTTAATCTATTTGACCATCATAAGACCAAAAATATCATATTCAGTTGGTGTTGTGTCTCAATTTATGCAGAACCCAAGAGCCCCTCACCTAGAAGCTGCAAAACGGATCCTACGATACATCAAAGGGACTCTCAGTTATGGCCTACTATACAAGACGCATGTAAAGTTTACATTGAGTAGGTTCACCGATACGGACTGGGCTGGTGACACAAATGATCGGCATTCAACCTCTGGTCACTGCTTCACTGTTGGGTCAGCTGTAGTTTCATGGTGTAGCAAGAAACAAGACATTGTAGCCTTATTGAGCACTAAGGTAGAGTATGTAGCAGCAACAATGGCTGCTCAAGAATGCATTTGGCTAAAGAGACTACTGAATGATATACTTCATGAAGATGATTGTGCTATGGAAATTAAATGTGACAATGAGAGTGCTATTAAACTGGCATTAAATCCAGTTTTTCATGTAAGAACCAAGCACATAGAAGTTTGCCACCACTTCATAGGTGAGAAGGTCCTGAATGAAGAAATAGAGTTAACTGGTGTTCGAACAGGTGCACAGGCAGCTGAAGATACATTTCACCAAGGCTCTGGTGAAACACCCAAGTTCAAAGCCTTCCGAAAAGCTCTGGAATCACTGACAGGAAGCTTGCACTAAGGGAGAGTAATGAAAGTTAGTACAAACTTCCAGTACATGAGAAGCACGTGGCCATCATTCCAACATGTTGCTGATACAAGATCTCTGGAATATTGCTGTTTCCTCATTTTGTTTATTCCGCTTATTTTTACTCAGTCAAAATAAATCTGTTTCCTATTATTTTGCTGGCTGATTATCTTGTTTTAATAATAGGGAGTGCTAGCGAGATCTCCGGGATTATAGAGAGATCATAGGAATAACGTTCATGGCTTACTATTATAAAGGTCGCGGCTGTATTCCGTTTGTTATCAATAAAAATAAAGCAGAGCATTCCTGATAAGTTTCATTGTTGGCTTTGCTTTTATTTTCCTTCTCGTTTTGTTTTAACCAGAGGTATTTATTCTTCTCCAAATGACCTCGAGAGTTCCCACATGTTGGATGATGAAACAAACCCAGTTAAGGCCTGTGGGGATTGGTCTACCATGTTAAGAACAGTGGTAAGACAATATATTGTTCTTAGGTTTTTTTAACTATTGTTTTTGCTTTCCTGATTTTAGTGAAGAATTTCAATTAATATGTTATTTCTTTTTTGGTAACAGGTAGACCTCCTTTCTGAAGTCACGTAGGATGCTCCAGTTCCGCCACAACGATGTGCATGTTTCTCTACCCAATGGAGACATATCTTTAGCATATTGAAACTGAATGTCGATACTAAAATTTTTGCATGAGTGGCTTACACACTGACAGAACAACTTTGAAACTCACTCACCTTTCTTTGTTCGAATGAGGCATAGTTACCAGATTGATGTTCTATGCAAAATTTTAAATGTTGTGATAACAGAAAGAAGGAAAAGCAGTAATTTCATTCAACAAAAAACGTAAGGTGTCAGGTTACAGAGTATATATCCCTTGGCTACATCATAACCTCTTTCTCTCTCCTGTAACTAACTTCTTGAATATTTACCGAAATGGTCATTACTCCTAAAGTGTAAAACGCACAGTAACATATAACCAGTAACATATAACAATACTCCCCCCCTAAAAAGAATCCTTGTCCCCAAGGATGGTGTGGGTTGAAGGAACAGTAGTCTGAAAAGTGGGAAATTGCTGCCGGAGTGCAGATAGATCTTCCCAAGTGGCATCCTCAGCTTGAGTGAGCTTCCAGCGTACCAGTACTTGAGTAATGGGCAAATTGTGGCGTTTAATAATCCTGCGCCTTAGTATCTCCTCAGGCTCCAACATGAATTGGCCTTGGTCGTCAAGTGGGGGCAGGGAAGGAGTCACAGGAACACCTGGACCAATATGCTTCTTAAGAAGGGACACGTGAAACACGGATGGATTCTGGTTTCAGGAGGCAGCTCTAACTCATAAGCAACAGTGCCAATTGTTTAACAACCTTAAAAGGTCCAAAAAGTATTTAGCAGCAAGTTTGTGTAATGCAGAATTATTGAGCATGTTTCGCCGAAAAGGGTGAAGTTTAAGGTAAACCCAATCATTGACTGCAAAGGAACGCTCAGTACGGTGTTTGTTTGCTTGGTGGATCATTCTGTTCTGAGCCCTGACCAAGTGTTGCTTTAAAATCTGCAGAACCAATTCCCTAGCAAGACACGTGCGGTCAACCACATCATTGGGAGAATCCCCTGCAACGTAGGGTAGATGAACAGGTGGAGAAACTCCATAAACAGCCTCAAAAGGGGACATTCCAATGGCAGAATGATAGGTGGTGTTATACCACAGTTCAGCCAAGGGCAGCCATTTGACCCATTGTTTAGGAAAATCCCCAGTCATACAACGGAGATAACACTCCAAGCACCTATTAAGAACCTCGGTTTGACCATCCGTTTGAGGATGATAGGCAGAAGAGTAATGCAGATCCACCCCATACAAACGAAACAGTTCCTTCCAAAATTTTCCACAAAAGATTGGATCCCGATCAGTGACTATCGTCTTAGGAAAACCATGTAGTTTCACCACGTTATCAATGAATACCTGTGCAACATCTACCGCTGTGTAGGGATGTTTGAGTGCCATAAAATGAGCAGCCTTGGATAATCTGTCAACAACAACTAGTATTGTAGTTTTAGAATATGATTTAGGAAGTCCTCCAATGAAGTCCATAGATAAATCAGTCCATATATGAGTAGGAATAGGCAAAGGTTGGAGAAAACCAGGTGAAGCTATTAATTCCGGTTTAAACCTTTGGCATGTAGTACACTCTCTAACAAAATTGCGAACATCCTTTTCCAACCCTTTCCAATAAAAAATGGATGAGAGACGCTTAAAGGTCGCATGCATGCCAGAGTGACCCCCAATCCCCTCAGCATGAAAATAATTAAGCAATTCAGTTCGAAGGCCACGATCCCCACCAACCACCAATTTCCCACAACGTTTCAATAACTGGTTGTGCCATGTATACTTAGGGTGAGATAAGGGGTCCTGCTCCAAATCCTTTATCAGCTGCTGTAAGTGACTGTCAAGCATCCAAGAGTCACGCACTTTATCATATAGGGGTGAAATAGGTGCTGTCAATGCCAAGCAAGAGCCTTCAGACCTGCGAGAGAGAGCATCAGCGGCTGTATTGTCACTCCCTTTCCTGTACACAATCTCATAGTGCAGCCCCCATAATTTATGTAACCATTTAAACTGATCCTGAGTGAGATCACGCTGCTCAAGCAGATGTTTTAATGGTAAATGATCAGTTTTAATAAGGAACTTCTTGCCACACAAGTAGGATCGCCATTGCTTAACAGCGAAGATGATCGCAAGTAGCTCTCGCTCATATGCTGAAAGTGGTTTTTTCCGTGTAGGCAAAGCCTTGCTAGCAAAGGCAATAGGGTGGCCATTTTGAGACAACACAGCACCCAAACCAGTCCCTGAAGCATCTGTTTCAACCACAAAAGTATCCTCGAAGTTAGGTAAAGCCAAAACTGGAGGTGAAACCATAATCTGTTTCAGCATCATAAAAGCATCATTAGCAGCCTGAGACCAAACAAAAGGGGTATCTTTCTTCAACAAGTCAGTTAAGGGTCTACTTATAGTCCCATAATGCTTAATAAATCGCCGGTAGTAACCAGTAAGGCCAAGAAACCCTCGCAAGTCCCTAATAGAATTAGGTGGAGGCCAAGAAGAAATGGCCTCAAGCTTCTTAGGATCTGCCTGGACTCCTTGACCAGATATGATATGTCCAAGATAATCAATCTGAGTAGCAGCAAAAATGCATTTAGAAGCCTTGGCAAACAGCCGGTGTTGCCTCAAGGTGGACAAGGTAGTCTCTAAATGCTGCAAATGGGCATGCCAATCTTTACTATACACTAAGATATCATCAAAAAAAACCAGAATGAACTTCCTCAAATAAGCTTTAAAAATGGAATTCATAAGGCCCTGAAAAGTGGCCGGGGCATTAGTCAAGCCGAAGGGCATAACAAGGAACTCATAAAGTCCTTCATGGGTGCGAAAAGCAGTTTTGGGGATATCATCCTCCTTCATGCGAATTTGGTGATATCCCGCTCGTAAATCTAGTTTGGAAAAGAAAGTCGCCCCTGTGAGCTCCTCCAATAACTCTTCAATAACAGGGATAGGAAACTTATTTTTGATAGTGGCCTCATTCAACCTCCTGTAGTCAACACAGAACCTCCAAGTGCCCTCTTTCTTCTGTACCAAGACAACTGGAGCTGCAAAGGAGCTAGAACTGTCGCGGATAACTCCATTGGACAACATCTCTTTAACTTGTTTTTCAATTTCATTTTTCTGGACAGGTCCATAACGATATGGTCGGCAACTAATTGGCTTGTCGGTCTGGAGGGGAATAGAGTGGTCAAACGTACGAGATGGGGGTAAAACTCGTGGGTTCAGCAAAAACATCCTCAAAAGCTGCTAAAAACTCTCGTCAATTCTTGTTGTTGGTCGTAGCTCAATGAAGAAGGAATTAGTCCAATCTGTAAAGTAGAGGAAGTCTGAATCAAGAAAGCATGAGCAGCCAACAAGACTTCCCGAGGAGAAGAGATTTCCTCAACACGACCCAGCTCCTTATAACCGATGCCATGTAGCTCAATTCGGTGGCCATGAAGCATAAACTCAAATAATTTCTGATCCATATCCATAGAAAATTTACCAATAGTACGCAGCCATTGAGTTCCCAAGATCATATCGTATCCCCCAATTTTCATGATCAAGAAGTCAGCAGAAAAGACCGAGTCCCCCATATCCCAAGAAACAGCAGGACAAAATTTAGAAACGTGTACCTTCCTCGTATCAGCGACAGTCAACTGAACCGGGGATCGTTCCTGAGACTTCAGCTGCAAACGACGGGCTGTGGACGCATCGAGCACGTTATGAGTGCTCCCTGTGTCAATCAGAATTATCACCGTTTGGTTCTTAATGCGGCCCACCAACTTCAATGTTGAAACCTCTTCCTGCCCTTCAATGGCATTGATTCTGCCGGACTCCACAGGAACCTCCTCAAGAGCGTCCTCAAAATATTCCTCATTATCATCAACAACCAGTAGGAAGAGTTGAGAATCCTTGCAGCGATGGCCGGCGGTGTATTTCTCGGTACACCAATAACATAGCCCCTTTCGGCGCCTCTCATCCATCTCTTTCCTCGAAAGCTGCTTAGAGGGCTTGGAAGGAACGCCCGAGTAGCCTGGAGAAGACGCCGAAGCTGAGTAAGCAGGCTTGACGGAGGTATACTGGGCAGGGGACTTGACGGTGCCGGGTTGGGAGTCCGCAAGTGATGGGCCGGAAGGGGAGTCCATGACTGTAGATGATTTCAGCCCATTCAAATGGAAAGGTTTCAGTGATGGCATAATATGGCGTCGACCGACCGGGGCATGCTCATGAATCGCCCGAATGGTGGCCTCCTGAAGGCGAGCACAATACATCGCGCTAGAGAGGGATGATGGACTGAAATTGAGAACGCTCTTCTGGACGTCAGCACGCAACCCACCGATGAATAGGTTCATCGCAACATCATCAGGTATATCGACTTCAGATAAGAGCTCATCGAATTGACGTTCATACTCAGGAACAGGCCTATCAAGTTGCTGTAACTTTTTGAGAGCAATAGTAGGACTCTCGTCATGTACGTCGGCGAACTTCTTCTCCATGTGAGAAAAATAATCAGACCAGCTAATATCGGAGAAAGATCGATGCCGCATAAAGGTTTGGTGCCACCGTAAAGCGTGCCCTTCCAGATGAATGCTAAGGAGACGAATGCGATGTTCTGGAGGGGTGCCGTCAACTTCAAAAAATTGGCGACAACGGTACGCCCATCCACGGAAGTCAGACCCATCGAACTTGGGGAAGTCCACGCGGCTTTGCTTGGTAGGGACAGAGTAAGCAGAATGGGGGTTGTGGAGCTCATGAAAAGAGCCAAAGGTTGGAATGCGAGGTGGAGACAATGAAGAGGAGCCACCTTCGCCTACTGCCGTTCGTTTGCCCGTATCGGTCAAAAGAGAAGAAACCTTCGCAGCAATATCCTTAAGATAATCGTCAAACCTCGTGTTAGTAGATTGCAAGTCATCCAAGCGAGCATTAATGGAGTCGATCGAAGCCTGTTGAAGGTCCAGGCGGTGCTCTAGCTCAGAGAAGCGTTCCGATCGTGTCTCCGGAGCCATACCAGAGAGGTGGCTCTGATACCCAATTGATAACAGAAAGAAGGAAAAGCAGTAATTTCATTCAACAAAAACGTAAGGTGTCAGGTTACAGAGTATATATCCCTTGGCTACGTCATAACCTCTTTCTCTCTCCTGTAACTAACTTCTTGAATATTTACCGAAATGGTCATTACTCCTAAAGTGTAAAACGCACAGTAACATATAACCAGTAACATATAACATGTTGTCTGAAATAAATGTAGTTATTGATTTAGTTGATTGGAAGAAAAATACTTCTGTCGATGATTTGATATGTTTTCTACTTATTTTTGTTAGAAATATATCTCAAGCATTTGGTATGAAGTTGTGCAATTGTCAGAACAAGGTTCTTCCTTCAAAGGCAACGTGTATGAGAATTTTGTGGCTAGGGGTATGATTATCAAGCAACTGATGAGTCTGACCATCATGTTCCGCTCACAAAAATAAGTTTAGATGGGTTCCTCCAACTTCACTATCACAGGGAAAAAAAAAGCAGAGATTTATAACAAGTAACAAACTGAGATGGTCATTCAATTAATAATGAATTATTTAGGGTAAGTTTGGTTGTTTGTGAAGAAAGTAATATTTAAATTTGATTCTCATCTAAGAGAGTGTTTGGATGAAACCAAATCATGGTTTGGAGAATAGCTTATGGAGAATAGATTCTGGGGAGAATATATTTTGTGAAGAATAGATTTTGTGAAAAAGTGATTCTGAGAATTGAGAGTGTTTGGATAATTATTATCAGAAGCACTTTTATATATACAAATTACTAAAAAAGACATAAGTTAATATGATAATTACATAAAAGATAGATTTTATGATATATTTTAATTTGAAGGAATAAAATTGTTAATAATATATTTTTTACCAACATAATTAATAATACATAAGATAATAAATTAATGAATAATTAATATGTGTATACATATTTATAAGATATAAGATTAATATGTTTATAAAAAATTAATTGAGGGATGTTAAAGTCATATTATTGTTGAGATCTACTCTGACAGGCACAATCATACTCTCTAATTTGAGCTAGAAGTAGAATGGATTCACTTCTTCTGAAACCATGGTTTTGGGTTCCAAAACTATGGTTTCGGCCCAAACCATAGTTTCAGATTATGGCATCAAAATTGATGCTGTTTGGGTGACATTCCACCCAAACCATGGTTTTGCCTCCCAAAGCATGGTTTTGGGAGTCACCCAAACATGCCCTAAGTAGTAAATAATTTTGGAGAAACAAATTGCTTTATAAAAATAAATGACTTATTAGTGGAAGAGATAATAAATGCATCAGAGAAAAACAAATTATCTTATATTTTCGGTCAAAAACAACTTATATTTTACAATCAATATATTAATTTAGTATTTAATGCTTTTATTTTAATGTTGTGACTTTTGGATTTAAAATTTTGATATGTTTCTTTTCATTCTATTGATTCATATCATTCCATTATTAGTGCATGAACAGTTTGTTTTGATTTTCTGTTTGTGGTCTGTATTTTGGTTTTTGGTGTTTGGGATTGACTGCTAGTTTTTTTCTTCTTTATTTTAATTTGTTACAAATTGAATGGGAGAATGCGTTGCTATGGAATTTCCTTGGCGGCAATAAGGTCAGACTGCCATGATGGGTATCTCTACGTCTCTATTTGAAGCCTTTCTACACTTCTATTTTTAATTTAGTTTCTTTGCTTATTTACTTTCAATCTATGTTGACATTATAAGGAGATAAAACAACAAAGCGAGTTCAGTTTCTTTGCTGGTTTCATGCTGACTCCAAAACCACGTAACTGATGCCATGCAACCCATGACGGCTTCCATATGATGCTCTGCATTCTTAGTATCTTCATTTTCACAACTAGATTTTATATATGGTGCACATTGGCTTCGAGGTCTTACATTTTGCTTCTTAGGAAAAAAAAAAAACAGACACTTGGCCTGAAAGTATTCCAACGCTGGGCTGTTCTAGGCTTAGTTATTAAATTTCTCCTTATTTGCTCTGGCTTTGTACAGATGAGATCTTTGGTATGCTTAATCTTATCCATTAAAAATCGTTTTGTGCTTTTAATTGGTATTAAGTCTAGAAAATTTGTAGATCCTGCAATAATGGTCATTGGCTTTAAATAAGCTAAATTCTAAGGTTACTGGCTTTATTATTTTCACTGGTAGCTCTCTGCGAGTATTTTATTTTCTGATGCTATCATTTTCCGTTTAAATCTTACTTGCTGTCTTGTATTCTTTGTTGCTCATTTTAGTAAGAATTTGTCTTTTGTTTTGGTTCTTTGAACACCAATACCAAATATTTTCTATATGGGGAGAATCCAGTCACATTTTGTATCCTTGAATGCCTATTAGATCTTGGAAGTTTTCTATGCTTGAGTCAATATTTATTTTCTGTATTTTGGTTTCTTTCATCCCAAACAATGAAAAGTGTTGTCTAAAAATCTCTAGTATATTGCCCAACCTTTTTTCAGTTTACCGGTATCTTAGTCTTATATCATAGTAAGTAAACACAAAAGTAGCACTTCCGAGTGTTGACATAATTTTGCGGCAACAACCCTACCCCTTCTAATCTAATTGGAACCTTCTGACAATATATGACTATGAGAGTGAAGCTATGAAGGCAATGATTCGATCTCTCTATTTTGCCAGACTTTCTCATTTGTTCCTTTAATGTATTTGGAGAAAACCCATCTGGATTTGGACGCCTCTTAGTGAAAAAATCTGCCATTTCCATTCTTGAAGCCTCTTATTGTGGAGGAATTTTCAATCTTTTATCAGAAAGGAGGCTATTTCAGCTGCCAGAGGATTCTTCTAGTACTGCATTAGTTTATAAGAGATTTGTATTGTCTTTTGAAGGGTAAGAGCATTGAGGCAGCTCCAAGTCTTCCTATCATAGTTGTGGAAAAATCAGCTTTTTTCTTCAATTTTTTAGATACATAGAATCATATTTTTGGGAACCAAATTGTATTTGGCAAATATTGTACTTTTTTTTTTAGCAAGAAACCCAAATATTGTGCTTAACTACATACATATGCTGCTTGATAAAAGCCCAGGACAATTGGTGAGAGGATTTGCTTTTCTGGCAAAAATGTTAACAACGGTCGAAGTGTTATGCTAGATATAATGGGGGAAGAAACTAAAATTTTTGGTATTTGTCATGTGAGAATACAACAAATGAGACAAAAAAAATGATTGTGTCAAAACTACTGCTCTGCTTGAACAAATTGGATTCTTCGATTGCCATGAATTTTTTTGGTAGGGCCTTACATTCACTCCTTTGACTAGCATGGTGGAAAGTGGAAACTTTTGACTGTGTGGGTATCACACCTTTCTTTTAGACCTCATTTTATTTTAATTAAAATCATTTTGAATAATTTCTTATGATCCTAAGTTGGAAAAATTTGAACTTTAAAATTTCATAAATTCGAGTTACTATTTATTGTAACGCTAATAAAGGTTAAAATTTGAAAAATTATAACTAATTCTAGAAAAATTGAAATGAGGTGGTTCCAAGTTCTACTTAAAGCTCTGAACACGATCTTTACAGGAAAAATATTCATTGGTGTCTAGACTTTACTATTCAGTCCCATGTTTTGTGCAAAGTGGTACTGTTTATATAGTCATTTTTTAATTTTTCAAAATTTATGCTCAACTTTGTAAGGGTATAACTCTTTGTACAAAACTACAAATTGGATGAAATACCACTTGTTTTAAAACTAAAAATATGATATATAAGCCTACCAAGTCTAGCCAAATTCACATTCATTTACACAGAATTTCGTGTGGTCAAATTTTGCTCTTAAAAAGTCAACTTTTTATCCCCTCTTTATGCCATTTTTGGTTATTCTTCCCTTTGCATTTCATATGACCATTCCAATCATACAATCCATGACAAAGCATGATTCCTTGATGATATAATCATGTGCATATCAACTTTGGTCATTAATACATTAATCCAACATAATTCACAGTAATTCATAATAATTCATACAAAATTACAAAACATTTTCAAAGAGCCATTAAGCTCAATTATTTTCCAATATAATGTCCTTCCCTTTGTTATTGCTTGGTCCAACCCCTAGTTGGTGAATATTTGAACATAAAGGAATGAGATTTCATAGAAATCTCAATAGCAATGAATCATAATTATCATGCTAATCATGCTGTGTAAAAATGTTCTATGTTATTATGAAAATAACATTATCATGCAACACTTCATGTGCATATCATTTGCTATGGAAGGAGAGTAATCAATCAAACTATTATGTCATTCCTCATAACATACTGCCAAGGCATATTCATGTAGGATTTTATATATAATCATATAATTTGCTCAATCACATCATGGAAACATAAATCAAATAACACATACACATTTAAACAAGCAAGAAAGTATTCAAATTATGAGTTCAATGCTACCTGTTGACTAACTATTCAATTCGGCCTAGTTGAAAAGTTTGTGCTTCTCTTTCATTTCTTGCAAAATGCCTACCAATGTAAGTATAAATACATTCCAAATTACCAATGATTCAAGCATAATCACCATTGCTCAACATTAAACTCAATTAAACCCATTTTTCCTTGATTTTTGATATAATTATTCCCTCTTTGTTTCAATTAATCTCTTGGGCTATTCCTACACAATTTTTCATGTGGAATCCAACAAAATCACATTTCTTCCCCTTCAAACTAATTTGGTTGAATAGTATACTTTAGGATTTGAAAATTTTCATTTTTGATTCCAATGATTTTAAACACTTTTTCTCTATGTTTCCCTATACAAAAACACCTTTTAAACTCACTAGAATTAACAAATCACATTGAAACAATCTCTAACATTTAGATTCCATAGTGACCGAATAGGGTGTTTAAAAACCCTAACTTTGTTTTCTTCCAAAACTCAATCCAAACATAAATTAAACATGCAATTCGAAGCTCATATTCATGGTTTCTATCCTTCCCTAAACTATTCTTGAACTCACTA